AGAGAGCGAGAGAGCGCGAGAGAGCGAGAGAGCGCGAGAGAGCGAGAGAGCGAGAGAGCGAGAGAGCGAGAGAGAGAGCGAGAGAGAGAGCGAGAGAGAGCGAGAGAGAGAGCGAGAGAGCGAGAGAGAGAGAGAGAGAGAGAGAGAGAGAGAGAGAGAGAGAGAGAGAGAGAGAGAGAGAGAGAGAGAGAGAGAGAGAGAGAGAGAGAGAGAGAGAGAGAGTGCGGTTGGATCGTACGGCAAGAAATCATTATGAGTTACAGAATATAGCTCATGAGGGTAATGATAGCTGCTCGCATATATTTATAGCGCCAAGAGGGAAAGAGAATAACACTAAAGTCAGACCAAGAAAGAGTGCGCGTATGAAATAGAGGGAGATAGAAAAACTGAAAGCATATACAGACAGACAGAAAGACAGAGACAGATATAACTAACCGACTTAATATTCCGAAAAAAAACTCTAGAGACCACACATACATTCATTGTGACATAGCTCTCACACTAATAGGTACTTATCCATCAATTATTGATGTTCACTGTTCATTTTCTGGTCGGGTATTCAGGGCCAATGAATTATGGATTCGCCCTCATTACCTGATTACCACCGCACTGAGAAAAATCCTGACTCCGCATGACACCCCCAGGGGGAGTTCACCAAAACGACACCCCAAAACTCCCAGGTGGTACTCCTCATTACACCCCCTCCAAAACTCTCCATTACACCCCAAAACTTCCCTCGAGAAACTCTCTGTAACTCTCCCTACCGTTTTAGAAAACTCTTCATTACTCTCCTTTACCCTATCAAAACAAACAACATACTCCCTGAAACTCCCTTCCATTACTCTCAATGACTCTCCTACTGCCTCATAATTACTCCCGATTACTCCATTCCATTATTCCCCAAAACTCCGTTTACATCTTCATGGTATACCTCTTGTTACTCCCCATCAAACTCACCCAAACTTCCCATCACTCCACTCCAGCCCCTCCCCCCCCCCGAAAATAAATATTGGACGAATAGCGTAACCACCCAAAGCTCGTGTACCGAAGCTCAGATAAAAATATATTTCAAGAAATGTGTATTCATAGTCCGGGGCGGTGGGAGGCTTAAAAAATTAACAAACGCTTTCGACATCCCGCCGCGGCACGCTCTCCGGGGATCTCACTCCATATGCTTCACGGTCGCGAGTTTTGATGTTAAGAATCCAAAAGGCGGCCTACCACAGCAGGAATGCTTGGTCTGGTGGTGCCGCTACCCTACCACCTCCTGGGCTTCGACGAATACTGCATCTTCTTCGTCCGGCTCTCCTTTCACGATGGTGGGATGGATATTTTGCTGGCCTCCGTTGGCTTCCGACGTGTCTTGCGGGATGCGCTGCAGGCTCTTCAGCTCATCCCCTGCAAAATGTTAATAACCATGAAATTATAGGTACACTTAACATTGCGTGGGAGGAAATGGAGGAGAAAGAAAAAAAAGAGAAGGAGGAAAATAATGAAGGAGAAAGGGAGGGAAGGAGGGGAGGGATGAAGGAAGGAAGGAAGGAAGGAAGGAAGGAAGGAAGGAAGGAAGGAAGGAAGGAAGGAAGGAAAAAAGGAAGGAAGGAAGGGAGGGAGAGAGGAAGAAAGAAAGGGAGAGAGAGGGGAGGGAAAGAGGGAGTGGGGAAGGAAGCGAGGAAAGATGAAAGGCAGAAATGAGGGAGGAGACTGAGAGGTAGGAAGATGAGACAAGATAAGATGGACGAGACGAGACATACGCGACCTGACGTGTTGGCACTGATACTGCATTTCGGCACATGATGTCAAAATAATGAAAGCAAGAGATTGCAAAGTTAGCATACTTTTTATGCACTACAATTTTGATAAAGTTAAGTTTCAGGGAAAGTCTAAAGGGCAAGTTAACAGCCTCCATCTTAGTTGCAGACACAGTAGGGTAATGCTATAAAACGTACCTACTTGAACGCTCAAAAGTTGAGCAGGTCGCTAAAAATAAGCTAAGGACGTTATACGCTGCATAGGTAGGTACCCATGTTAACATTAAAGAACGAAATTCAATTATGGACACTTTCTAAAAACATACAACAATTTAGACAAAATTTTTTTAAACATGCTGGTTTGTCGGTGGTTTTCATCATTCATAGGCAGTGGCAGTGGTAGGTAAGTAGGTAACTGATTTTTTTATATATAGGGGCTAGGAAAATCAAGGCTTTTAGGTATGCCAAGATAGTTTAATTTTCTGGCTCTGCTTTGAAAGACCTTCAAATTTGATATTTGTCATTGGTATGGATATTAAAATAATTGGGCAATAACAATAGGATCCATGACGTGTAAAGATTGTGTAATCCTAACTTTCCAATTTATTCGAGGGAAATAATGTATGGCATTTGCAAATACCTAGAAACTCAGAGCATGCTGTTTCCGATCGTTATCTCACTCAGGAACAAAAATCAATTACCCTTACAGAGACCATTCCAACCCATCAAGAACATGGGGTTACCATATGTTCTCACCACAGCATTATAACACTTTGCACTATAAAAGCATGATGGGAAATACAGCTAAGCTTACCTTTAAATCCAAAGGGTCCAATTATCCGTCACTGTATAGGTCAGGTCCGTCTAAGTCGACACGCTCTTCACTAACACCCGCCGCCCCGCACAACGTGCTGTGTACTACGCGCAAAAAATGGCGGCCACCGGCAGCCTCGCGACGTATGCTAAAACCCCTTCGTAACTCCCCTTTTACTCCTGTCGGAACGTTCGGGAAAAGTTTTTCGGGAATAATGGAGAGTTGCGTCACAGGGTTATGGGGTGTCACACATGGAGTCATTTCGCCATCCATTAAGAACTCTTGAAAACTCTTTCGCAAAATGAGGAAGGCTCGAAGTTACCCTAGAACACACTCAATAACTCTGCTGGAAAGGGAGTTATCAATGGTTTTAAAGAGTTTTCAGGGGAGCATTTTCAAGAGTTTTGACCCATATGGAGTCAATTTTTTTCTCAGTGCGTTTGCCAAAATACATACAGGGCTAAGAAAAACATTTACACCATGGCAACCAAGCGGGATTGCAAGTAGAAATCAAGTTTATTATTTGTTTAATTTTGCTCTTCTTTTTAAAATACAGTTTTGTCTTCAAGTTCCAAAAAGTTTTCAACAGTTCACTATGTTGAAGACAGTGAATGTCAAGAAATCTCAGTGCTCAGTGTTGATGTATGGAACGATATCATATTGTAAAACATCTTCAGCATGCGGCGTCATTATGAGTTCAGTCAGGTTTAAAAAGAAAAAAAAAACACGGAACAAATAGTGCATGGACGCGTTTCGATTATTAAATCTTCATCAGCATGACATAATCACAGAGAAAACAAGATCAAACTATATAGTTGTAACACAAACTATATAGTTTGTGTGCTATATCTTGTTTTCTCTGTGATTATGTCATGCTGATGAAGATTTAATAATCGAAACGCGTCCATGCACTGTTTGTTCCGTGTTTTTCTACTTGTCTCTATCAATATACATCAGTCAGGTTTATTTAAAGATGGCCAGTGTGCTCTAGCGCAATGTGGGCGAAGTCAGGTAAAAAAGTTAGGATAAAACACAAAATCTGGTACGCTGGCTAAACTAGCATCAGCCTTGATGAGACTGATACGGCTTCATCAGTAATTGGTTATCAGCTTGCTAGTGATAAATCAAGAAACTAAACTAATTAAACTTTCCTCTAAAACCGTTCTCCTGCGTACAATGAGCTGCACAAACGCTTACCCCCTCCCTCCCCTCCACCCCATCCCTACCAAACTGATGCAACCGCAACCGTCTGGCACCTGCCACCCCCTCCCCCCGAGCGAGCGAGTGCGAGCGAACCATGAGTGCCGAGCTATCCCGGCGCAGCGGGGGGGGGGGGGAGGGGGAGGCGGGGAAGGGAGAGCTCTGCAAACGCTCATGGCTAGAGAATAGAGATGTCAAGTGCGGTGAATTTATGAGGGATGTGTTATGTGTGAACAGATAAGAAAGGAAGTCTGCACGTCTACAGTTCATAGCCCAATGCAATGAAAAAAGTTTGGAATTGGACTTCAATGCCGGTTCATCACTTGGGTAGCGTTTACAAAAAAAAAAAAAAATATTCCCCCGTTTTTGGCAAGTGCTTCGTTTCAAATACCTTCGATGCTCTTCATAGTTCATATAACTTCCTTTCAAGTCTGCTTGAACGTGTGACCCATCAACGCCTCTTGCCTTCCAAATTAAATGCCACACAGCGCCAAAAATATGCAAAAAGAAACTCCAATCCTAAACAAAGCAACCAAGCGCCCAGGCCGGTGCCCCCCCCCCTCCCCCCCCCCCCCACGCAGTCCCTTCCCCAACTGGCTACCGCAATCAGCTGACTAACGGCCTGAGGCGGGCCACGCTCGTGAGCTCATGCCGTGAGACGAGGGAGGGTCAATGGATTTGATCAAAAGTGAGGGCGAAGGGGGGTTTTAAGGGGTGCTGGTGAAAAGTTAGGAAACGGATTGATTAGAGAGTTGTTGTAAGGGATATTGTGAGAATGTCCTAGGCACGGCGTAAGAATATCTCAGATTCATATCATTATGAGGAGTTTTATGAAGACAACGGAGAAATGCTTTGGAAAGACAGTTCATTGATCTGGTAAGAGGACCATCGGTCAATGTGGGATTGTCGCAAAAACGTCACAGAAAGGGTATAACTTCAGCGGATCACTCGAGCAGTGTTGTCCCGCGAATATATTCCGAATATATTCACGAATATATTCGCGAGAATACGGCAATGTTGTTTCGGGAATAATGTAGTGAATGGTGATGCCGGTTGAATTGTGTCAACGTCACTGGGACCGTGTTATATTGTAAATGTGAGATAGAGAGAGAGACAAAAATGTAACACAAAAAGGGACAAGAGTGAGAAACAAAGACACACGAATGTGAAACAAAATGAGAAACCATATATGTCTCAGGAGACCTATAAAATGTCTCTGGGACGTTTGTTCTTACCGTGTCTAGGCCATCAGTGGAGTTTTCTTCAACAGCGACGGGCTCCAACTTGGGTCGCTTTATCTGCACAGAGAGGTCAGATGACGTCAAAGAAGGTCACCAAAAGGCTGAGGCTTCGATATACAAGGTAAGGTCATTTCATGTCATTGATTGGGTTTATTTCAATTTTACTGAGTCAGATGAGGTCATCTACAGGTTCATTTTCCAGTATAGTGAAGAGGTCAAGTCATTTTATTATTTATGGACTGAACTTTCGACTATGCAAGGTCAGGTCATGTACTATATACTGGATGATTCCTTGTCATATCGTAGTCGAGGTCAGGTCATTTTAAAATAAGTTCAGAAAACACAATCTGCATGTAGAAGTTTGATCATTCGTAGTGGGATAGTATTTCGTAAGCTTAATAATATCAATAAATCAAGTCTTAATCAAGCCTTAATAAATCAAGTCAGACAATTATTTCGCATTGTTTGATAAATGCTTGATTGTCGGTTCAAACTCATGGTTTCAACTTTCATTGATAACACATTCAACCCTTACCCCACCACCCACTTACTTCCCGCATTCAAAATTCCGCCCTCACCGAGAATCGAACCCGCAACCCCCTCACACACTACTCACCACAGTGCTGCCCTCCTCTCCGTTGGTGCAGGGCGGCGCCGTCGGCGGTCCTCCCACCGGCGACACTCCCCCCTCTGTCCCCCCTCCCGACTCTCCCCCGGTGTCATAGGGGTCCGTGTTCCGATTTCGTTTTCTATCCGTGGCGGGTTCGGTGGCGGCTGAGGGGTGGGGGGTGGGTGCCCGCAGACGAATGCCGCTGACTGGGGGGCGGGAGCCGGCCAGACCTGAAAAGGGGGGGGGGAACGTCAGGGGTGGGTAGATATGGTGACCGCTAGGGGCTGGGGGAGTCATTTTACAAAAAGGCTTACGTAAAGCTAACCAAACACAGCAACAAAACAACCAAACCAAACATTTCCAAATCATTTCAAGCGTCCAAGAGGAAGCGAAATCAAAACAATCATAAGATAGAATCAGAAGGGCGAATCCATTGACGGTGGGAGGGAGTCGTGTGAGGGTCACCAGGCCATCAGTTAGAAACAGCAGAAATGACAGAACTTTAAAAATTACGCAAACGAGCTGAATAGCTTACGCACGTAAAATTACATGTGCATATAAATTGTGATTTAAAATGGCCTTTACTGACGGTTTCGGTAGCTGAAAATCAGCTAGTGCTACCAAATTTGTTCCACCCCACCTGGCAGCATTGCTTGATGAAATCATTGCTTAGTTGTGGAAGTTGCAAAACGGGTACCGGGAGACATAAATACCACCTAAATGTCATCTGTATTATCAGTCAGAATTATTTAACGCTACCAGCGGTTGCGTTAAATGTCATGAGATTTAGGTGTCGTGGCCTGAGATTTAAGTGTCGTGGCCTTCACATGGGTCTCATACTTCGACTAGTCGGGTAGGGTTACCTTGCCTCTGGTGATTTAATCTTAAGATTCAGGTTTGGATCCATGAGTGTGTCATAATTGTAATGTTGATTAAGAAAAGCAGATAATTTGAAAAGTAAAGTATTCTTGAAAAGCAAAGTATTTGAAAAGTATTCTTGAACAGCAGATAATTTTTTGTTTCCAGTGTGCGATCGTCCTAGACCAAAAAGCCATTGGGTTTCATGAGTCATGACCACATATTTCAACCACAAAACGTCCTTGTTTCCCTTATCTTTTTTTTTTTTTGTTGAAACAAACGTACCTCTACGCAACAAAGTAAATCCCTTTCAAACCGGTCAAAAAGTCAAATGACAAAAAGTCAAAAGACAAAAAGTCAACAGACAAAAAGTCAAATGCAAAAAGTCAAAAGGGATCAGAGTCGAATGGAAGAAATTCAAACTGTATAAGTCAAAACGTCAAATAGTCAAAACGAAAAAGTCAAAAGAGCAGAAAGTCAAAGTGGCAAAAAGTCAAAAAGGAGAAAATTCAAACGTGAAAAAGTCAAAACGGAAAAAAGTCAAAAGCAAAAAGTCAAATGCGGAAAAGTCAAAACAGATAAAAGTCAAAATGGACAAAAGTCAAAATGTTAAAAGTAAAAAGTCAAAAGTCAAACCGACAAAAAGTCAAAAAGACAAAAATCATATGGCAAAAAATCGTCAAATGTCCCCTGTTATTACGTGTTTTTTTCAGAGAAATTATTTAAACACATAAATATGAAGACATTACCCCTTCAACGTATGCATCATGCAACTGTTGATCGATTAATACCACTCAAAGGTCAGATCAGTCGGGGAAACTGTGGTCAAATCTCCCATTTTTGGAAGCCTTCCATTTTTGGAACGATTTTCCATATAAGGGTACGCTGCATAATATAACCATTGACTGTTATTTATTGAACGACTTAATAGATACCTGTCTGAAACTGATGTAATCAATCAATTTCATGCTTTGCATCACAATGCTTCATATACACTCTTACACGTCCTGAATAAAAAACAAAGTTGAAGTTAGGACACCTATGTACCCCATTATAGTCGAGGTCACGAACGGTCACCAGAGGTAAAAAAGAGTCAATGACCTTCCCCTGACTTCCTTTTACCTTGCTAAGGTCACTCATGCTCCGAAATAGCCCGCAAAGTCTTTGTTGTGGTTGATATTTCCCAATAACACGCGATAATCTGCGATTTTACACACTTCTGGCCTGAGGCTGTAGGTAACTCTTATAACGTCATAGCTCTGTGACCTGACATGACCCGGTCAATTATTTTTTTCTTTTTAAGTTGCGCAAAGATGCCGCTTTGGAAATGCAAAATCTTGTCGCGCTCTGCTGATCTGTTTAGCATCCATCTCAGAAAAAAACTAATGGGGGCTGCATCACCCTCCCCCCCCCCCATGCGAGGGTTGATTCAGACCGGACGTAGTAGGCCTGGCGGGGAAAAGGGCGCTATTAAGTCGGAGTCAAATCGAACAAAAATCGGCTGTTTTGCACCTTACCATCAGCGATTTCATTATAAATTTGTGAGCGAGTTCCTGTGTGGCCCCGGACATTACATTGATGTTTTTTGCACATTCTGACCACAGGTCTTCTATGTAAATATAGGGCATCAAATTTTTACAAAATGTTGCATCTTTATATTTTTGAACGACCATAACTTTGGTTGTACTTGTTTGATTTGAATGAAATAAACCTTACTGTTTAGGTAATTTCTTAAGCATTTGTTTAGATTTGCACCTACTTAAATATATGACCTTGAAATTTGCTTAACTCTGTTCTTAAGCACAAATATTGAAATAGCAAAAAACACGTCACCTTCGATTTGGCTCATTTTCATATATTTTATTGCCTACCATATTCTTAACAACCTGTGAAAAAATTAGAGTGGGCCATTCATAAGTTTTGAAGAAAATTGCACATATGCAAACGTATGTTAGCATGCGCAGCGGAGGGGGAAGAGCGAATTTCGCCCACCCCTCCTGTTTTTCGCCAATATCTCATAAGATTAATGCGAAATTAATTATGGCTACCTGTCAAGAATTGAATTGCACATCTCATCGTGCAAGCAATAAGAAAATCGGTTCACAACTGTTCTAGTAATAGCGGTGTAAAGTGAACATCCTGTCGCCGCGGCGACGCGGCGACTCGGCAGCCGGCGCCGACCGCTACGCGCCGCCTGAATTGTAGACTGTGCCGGGACGGAACGGAACGGTTCCGTCTTTACATCGCGCTCCCTACCGCTGATTACTTTCGATTCGCGTCAAATTTTGTGAGAAGACTAAGAAATGTACAGGCAATCTTATGGTGAAAGAATTTTGAAAATCGGTTGGTAAACAATTGAAATATGAACGTGTAAACACAAAATTGTGATTGCTGCGTTTCCCGCATCGGCCGAGCCCGCCTCAACCGGCGACATGTTACTCTTAGCAGGCATCTAACTGCCATTATTTATTATTGGATTAACTAGAAATTCCCCATACATACTAAAAATGTATGTTCTTTCGTATAGTGAAGATCAAAAGACGTAAAGATATCGTTGCGTGATAATGTTTTCGTTGAATTTACTTCATGATGCATTTCCACACGGCTCAAAATTCACCGCAAAATACCGTTTGCCTGAGACACTTTAACTATGGAACGTGAATGCTTGACTACGATGACTATGCATTTCCATTCTCGCAGAGTTTGGGATATCACTAATCAGCAATCATTCATTTCAGAAAGTGTGCACAAGCAAGCATGTCTTGACTCTGTCTTTCAAGGTCACGCGCGGTTGCGTGATGTTGATGCATGAAAACGGCGTTTGCCGCGAAAGTTATGAATGGCCCACTCCAATTTTTTCACAGATGGTTAGGAACATTGTGACGGACATAATATGTAAAAATTACCCAAAGCGAAGGTGACGTGTTTTTTGCTATTTAAATTTTTCTGTTTTAATTCAAGGTCAAATGCATTTCAAGGTCACTTCAATTTAATCTTATAATTAAAAATCAAAGCCTTATCAATTGCCTATAAGACCCTGTTAATATCATTTTGATACCAGAAAAGGAACCAGAGTTATAGCCATTAAAAAAATTGATGTGTGGCATTTTTCGCTATATTCGATGACCTATATCTCAGCGATACGTTATCAAATTTCGAAAATATTATACGTAACTCAGTTTTGAACCATGCCCAGTCTGCCTGCAAATTTTCAGAAAAATCGAAGGGGATGAGTCGACGGATTTCGGTGTTTGATTTGACGTGGAATGCCCCAGGTGGTGATAGGAGGCTGAAATTTGGGCAACAGACGTTCAACTTGATCCATCCAAGACGGATCTTTTGACGTATCGCAAAACTTTGAGTAAAGTCAATTCACTGACATCTAACGTTTGACCTTGGAGAGCAAGAAGACTACCCACAACGGCAAGTGACCTAATCAAGGGTAAATGGTCATGGAATGGTCACGTTTTTGCTAACAAAGCTCAAAGTCTTTCATATAATTTATTCCTGGATCTCGTATGAAATCAAATCCAAGTAGATAGACGTACGACAAATGCTCTAAGACGTCGTCGACGTCGAAATCTATGTGACACGTCGAAAGCTACTCAATGGTTTCGAAGTCACATTTCGTCATTGAACCACTATTCTTCAGATTTCTGCCATTGAAACCATTGAAACTATTATTTTGTTGTGTTGACTCTTATGTAATTATTATTTTTGTTTTTGACTTTATGTATATGACTTTTTATCCTTTTGACTTTTAGCGTCTTTGACTTTTTCCATTTGACTTTCTGCTTTTGACTTTCTGACATTTGACTTTCATATTTTTGACTTATAGCCTTTTTGACTTTTTTGCATTTGACTTTAAGCTTATTTGACTTTTTACCATTTGACTTTTATCTTTTTGATTTTTCGCGGTTTTGACTTTTTGCTTTTGACTTTTTGCATTTTTGACTTTTTGCCTTTTGACTTTTTGTCTTTTTGGCTTTTAGCGGATTTGACTTTTGCCATTTGACTTTCATCTTTTTGACTTTTTGTCTTTTGACTTTTTGGCATTTGACTTTTTGTCTTTTGACTTTTTGTCTTTTGACTTTTTGTCATGTAATCCCCTTTCGCACGCCAGCATGCTGCAAAGCATTCTATGTCCATTCATCGCCCATGCCCTAACACATTAATTCAGCTCTAATTTCAGAAGCCTGCTCTGCATATTCAGGATCAAGTAGGAATTCCCGAATACAGTTTATACAGAGCACTTCACCAGAGTTGCAACTGTTTCTTTTTGATCGAGAAGAGTTATTTTATTACCATATCTAACTATATCGGACGGTGTTTAACTTCAGTTCTTCCATTCATGTGAGAGTAACTCGGAAGCAAAGTACAGACTTCGAAAGTATGCTTCAAGAATACATGATTTGACTTTATGAGTGCACAATTTAAATAATGTACTAAAGACGATAGCTAGCAGGCTAAGGCTGTTTTAAGCTTTTCGATGGCTATATGTTTTTGTAAGAAGTGAAAATTACGATTAGAGAGTTCAGTATCATTGGTTTACGACAATGCTCAACGAAAATGGGTTATGGGTTAACGATGTTCACCCCTCGACGCTGTCAAGTTATCAACTTCCCACATGGGCTGAATACAGGCTAAAAGGCGGATTATTTGCCTTTGATATTCAGCTATCAAAGTAGTAAAAATTGACAAGCTACCTCCCGAAATTCACACATTCCATGTAGGTATGCCATTGAATGATGGGTGGATGGATGGGTTACTCCAATTTGATCAGAGGCCCCTTTATTCACGATATCCCCTGTTGGGTTACTCACATTTATCAACGTCGCCCCTCCCTTGGGTTACTCACCTTTAATCCGCAGCTCCTCGGCGGTGAGAAAGAGCGAGTCAAGTTCGTTTTTCTCGACTTCAACCTCGCCTTTGTACATGAACTCGACGATACAGCGGAGCTGAGAGAATTTCACATCTGTGGCAGAGAGAGAGAGAGGGGAGAGAGAGAGATAGAGAGAGAGAGAGAGAGGGGGGAAGGAGAGAGAGAGAGGGAGAGAGAGTTAGAGAGAGAGAGAGAGAGAGAGAGAGAGAGAGAGAGAGATACACGTCAGTATCAGAGCCGGATATAAGATATTAGCCCCTACATCGGTCAGATATCACCTACTGCACATCATAAGAGGACGTCATTGCCACCTGTCGACTTTCGTCCCCGTCTTGAGTTGGAAAAATCGAATTCGAAAGCTTGGTCGGAGCTAGAATGAAGATTCCAACAAAGACGAGGACAATATCCAACTACCAACATCCGTAATACCAACATTCGTCTAAAGCTGCATCATTCCAATTACCTAATATTATGAATATCTCAGGTCTAAATATTACAATGATAAGTTTTTCCTCCCTTCACAACCACGATATTTTCTTACCTTTTAATATCACAATGGGATGTTTTTCCACATGGTCCTGAAACAGAGCCTTGAAGTAGGGCGAGCACGCCGAGAGTACCAACTTGTGGGCCTTCAGACTCTGCCCCTCGCAGAAGAGCGTGACGTCCACCAGAGATTCTGAGGGAGGGTATGTAGGGGTTATATGGGGGTTATGTGGGGGTATATGGGGTTATATAAGGGTTATATGGTTGTTATATGAGGTTATATAGGGGTTATGTGGGGTTGTCTAGGGGTTATATGGGGTTATATGGGAGTTATATGAGGGGTATATAGTGGTTATATGGGGGTTATATGGGTCTCTGCGGGAGGAGAGGTGGCAGTTATATATATATATATATATATATATATATATATATATATATATATATATATTAGGGTGGCACTTAGCAATAGGGTGAATTTTATGTTATCCGATTTTTAGGCGTGCGGGTAGTTTTCTGGTTCCATTCCCGTAAAAAATAATGTGTGCAAAATGATTTTGAAAAATATTGATATTTAGGGGTCGCGAATTGAGGTCAAAGTTGACATTTTTGGGCAAAAAATCAACTTTTTGGAAACTACTTTAAACCTATTTGGAATGACATATGTGGTCATTAAGCGTCATTTCAGACGTATTTTGACCTTTGTTTGTATAACAATTGTTAATCCCATCACTTCCGGCCGATCGTAGCCAGTCCAGGTCAGGCCAAGACAGGTCTGATCTGGGCTGTTTTACCCATGTCAGGCCTGTTTTGGCCTGCGACCGGTGCCTTCTCACAGTGGAGGTCATATCCTCTGATTAGTGTGAGGAGTGACCGGTCTCTCCTGTTCCAAAGGGAGGACGAGCCCCACGGTTCTATCGGTTCTTGAGACATGCTCCTTTTCTGTCAAAGAGAATGTGAAGAAGTTGGAGTCAGCCTATCGCCGGCGGGCGAAAGCAGAGGCGATAGTGTGCATTGAGCTGCACTGGTTTATTGTGCTTTCGGGATGTTCTTCCGTGGGCGCTCCTTCCGACTCTAGTGCCAGTGCCAGCAACAGACTTACCCGGCCGTTGCGGCGCGCACACGGAGGGAACGTCTTTGACGATGGCTACCATGAGAGAGAAACGTTGACTCACACTCCCAAGCGCATGCGGGCGAGCGGACGTCCCCAACAGTGAACTGGCCTCGACCGGGCCAAACTGCCCAACCGTAATGTGTGAAGAACACGTGAACCTGTTATCAACTGCGGCACGGAACTTAGGATACGACTCCGACTGAACCGCGAATACTGAGCCGCGAGAGAAGGAGCGTCGACCGATTCTAGGTCCTGGTGATGGGGAGGGGGGAGGGATTGGGGTGGCCAAGCTCCTCGCCGTTCCCAACCTCCCCTCCATCCAAGCACAGGAGGCCATGCTCACAGCGCTGGGGGACTAAGAACTGGAGAAGCGGAACTGCGGCCTTTTGCTTCGACGCCACGACGGCGAACAGCATGCTGGTGAGCGGTACTTAAGCCCTTATCGAGCAGAAGCTGGATCGGCCCGTCCTCCAGCTGGCCTGCCGGCACCACGTGTACGAGCTGGTCCTAGAGAAGGCCTTCTCCACCTGCCCTAGAATCTCGAGCGGCCTCTACATCCGGCTGTTTAAGAGGTTCAAAGGCGGGTGGGAGTTCATACTTCATTGACAGGATCACACCGGTGGCGTTCGCCGTCGACAACGTTCCGGAGTGGGACGAGCTGCTGGTCAGCTTCCATCGCTTCCATCGCTGGACTATGCCTAGCTCCGGGAAGACTACCGAAAACTTCTGGAGCTCTGCGTAATTGCTCTCGGTGGAGTTCCAAGCACGGCATCCGTTTCTCCGCCTCAGAGTACTCCACTGAGTTAGATGGATGGCAAAGACCATCCGCACTGTGGATGCCTTCCTCTTCAGGGAGCGGCTCCGGCTGACGGCGGCCGAGGCCCAGGTCATCAGACGCTGTCGCTGTCCGTTGCCTGCAAGTTTGCCGCCGCCTGGTTTAGGACTCTACTGCCACTGCACCGGCTCTGGACCTGACCTTCGTGAACTCGTTCTGCACCTACCCCGACAAGGAGCTGTCGTCGGGGTAGGTGCAGTCCCGGTCTTCGGCCGTCACTTGTAGTACTTGAGTGATCGGCTGGTGACTCTGGAGCTTTTAGACCCCGACTCTCGGGCTCAATCAAGACATGGTGCTGGCAATAGACTTGTAGGAGAGGGAGGACGAGGACCCGCCCCATAAGTTCTTAGTGGACACTATGAACGCCGCTCTCGCGACCGAGACGTTGGCGAGCTTCCTCACACCATCGTTCAAAAAGCTCTCAAGGATCCACGACCTGGACGCGGGGCTCATCATCAATGACCTAGGCCACTGGGAGGACAGCAGCTACCAAACCGCAGCTCGTGTAGTCCGGGAGCTGCGGGTGGTGAATGACTTCACCAGGCGCGGTATGGCGCTGATGTAGGACTGGCACTCATGAAAGACAAAGATTAGCGCCAGTTCTTCCTCCATTTCGTTGAATAGATCACAGAAAACGCTAACCTGACACCCGAAGATCGACTGCAATTGCTAACCAGGCTACACACAAAGTGATCTGGGTGCCCGTTGCCCATGATACCCCTCCCTCCAATGAGGCGCCAATAATCTACTAAAGAGGAGGAACTGGAGTAGTGGAGTACATAGACCAGCGTTCTGGCGTGACCGAAGCTGCATGAAATATCAATAAACAATATGAAAATGACTAAGAAATGCCTTATTATCATCCGATTACAGCGTAATAGGAAAGTCAGAAACGATTTTAATGATGTTGAAATCTGCTACCAAAATCTCAATTTTGACCTTGATTCGCGACCTCTAAACATCAATATTTTCCCATAAAAATTTGCCTCCCTTATTTTTTACGGGGATGGAACCGGAAAACCACCCGCACGCATTAAAAATCAAAAATTGATTTTTAAGTGCCACCCTAATATATATATATATATATATATATATATATATATATATATATATATATATATATATATATATATATAGGGGGACAGAACTTGCAGTGATGTCTGTCGGATACCAACTTTTTGGTATACCAATACAACCAAACAGATAACTTGGGTAGGTATTCAGGTATTTGGTATTTCAAACCTAATGCATTTGGTATGTTGTTGGTATTATAAAGATCACCATTGTAGGTGTATTGTAGGTATACGATGCTCCGTATTTGGTAAAAAGTTGATATTTCTATCAATTTTACAATTTGGTTTGGAGTTCGGTATTTTTCTATCGTCTCGGTTGGTATTTGGTTCGGTATCGGTTTCCAAATTATCTGTTCTTGACATCACTGACCAGAATTCTGTTACATCATACATGCATGGGGAGGAAGTTAGTTACATAGGGTTTACAGTTACCGTTATATAATTACAAGCAACATAAGAACATGTCGACCATGCTAATAATTCACGTCAAAATGACGTCAGTCTTGGATAATGCTCTCCAATTTAGAGCACCTATGAAATCCAGCATGAAAAGAGTATGCTCCAGTGAAATGGAATAAAAAATGGTCAGGTTGGTTAATCTCAATATACGCGCTTGGCGCGACATAAAAAACATTTCGATTCTCTAACAAATTTACAATGACGTCAGCGGTGGAAGTATATGTCACTCACTGCAGCCTGGAACAGGTTTCCAAAACACATCCACCAGGTGATTTATATGTCGTCAAAATGACGTCACAGTGGGCTACTCACCAGCCTGAAGCAGTATAACAGCATGTCGACAACGCATTAAAGTGACGTCAAAATGACGTCACAGTGGGCTACTTACCAGCCGAGAGTAATCAAAGAGCATTCGACCATGTATGTATTAGTGACGTCAAAATGACGTCACAGTGGGCTACTTACCGGCCTGGAGCAGGTTTCCGAAGACGTCCACCAGGTGGTTGGTGTGGTTGTTCCATTTCAAACTAAACTGTTCCGTCCCCATTATCTGGAAAAAGGGAGAAAATAGCGCGAATTAGTGAAACAAGCTTGGACGGACGGTAAAGGAACCAGTGAACAGTGTGAACAAGGTGGTTCACGATGGGCGACAAGAGGGCTTCGGAGTCGTAGTCGGAGTCGGAGCTGACTTTTGGAAGCCGGAGTCGGAGTCGGAGTCACCGAAAATCCATCGACCCCGCAGACGTGTCATGGCTGCGGAGTCTGAGTCGGAGTCGGAATCGGGGTCGTTTGGTTTCGACAGTTTTTCCCGGAGGCAGAGTTGATTTTTGGAAGATAGAGTCGGAGTCGAAGTCACCGAAAATCCATTGACTCCCCAGCCTTGGGTAACAGATAACACTTAACTTAAGATATGGGTCAGTGAAAAGCTAAATCAGTTGAAAACCGCTCACTGAACGGGCGACATACATTCCCTATACTTATGTGTTTACTGGTGGACACTGAATACGACACACCGTCATTCATTAATTACGCCAGCACTGAGCTATCAATCAATCGATCATGCAAAAAATGCAATTGACGTCAATTAACGGTAAAGTAAATGCCTGTAGCTTGTAACTAACTATTAAACAACTAGTTTGTCAACAGAACGATGCCTGTCCGTGACAATTGATAGTGAACGCTTGACAGTGAACACTGAACAGTTTCAGTTCGTGAACGCAGAACATACCGTGTCATCGAGCAGTAAACAGAACAGGACACGGCAGTGAACAGAACAGCGCATACATACTAGTAAACAGAACAGCACATATCAGTGGACAGAACAGCACATATTAGTGTGCTGTTCCACCATTGGTTGATAAGGACCCAGTAAACATGCCGACGTCGGCCCGAAGTCGGCCGACGTCGGGGTGACGTCGGCAACTCGGCATCGGCATGCCGACGTCGGCCCGACGTCGGTCCAACCTCGGCACGACGTCGGCTGGATGTCGGATATGCCCGCATGTTCCGACGTCCAGCCGAGGTCCAGCCGACGTCGGGCCGACGTCGGACCGAGATCAATTGCTGAGGTCCAGCCGACGTCGGGCCGACGTCGGACCGACATCGGCCGCTGTTTTGACCGTTAAAATAATATAAAATACATGTTTCATGTTTCATAAAGAGCTTCTGTATTCAAAATATCCTCAGGAAACTCAAATCTTCCTCCACGCCGCAACCCCCTGATCCGGACTGGACGGGAAACTTTATCCCATTTGGGATTGCCCGTAAGCCGAGCTCGCCCGTAGCCGGGTGCGGTGAGTGCTTGGGGGCTGCTCGGCCTATCCTTTGGTCAGGCTCAGCCCCGGCAACTCACCAGGGCCGGGCCCAGTTCATATAGAAAGGCCAGTCGGCAAGTGTCACTTTGCCAAAGTGCCACTTATCAAAGGGACACTTTGGGAAACGTTGGCGCAGGTGTGTAAGAGTGGCTATATGAATCCATTGTGGGGTCGCCCTTTCCAATAAGTGTCACGTAACAGCAATGGGACCAGGGACTCTATATGAACTGGACCCAGGGTGCTCGCCAAGAAGACCAATGTCTCCATCCTATGATCCTTCCGGCTCTGAAATGGTCTTGTCAGACCGAAAGGGCATAACCCAACAAAACAAACCAAATTCGCTAGCTGGCTGCGTGGTGCAGTGGTTAGCGCACTGTCCTCGCGTTCGAATGATAATGGGTTCGAATCCCATCACCGGCTGATGCTTTCGGCGTGTTGTCCCAGTAAACATGCCGACGTCGGCGACTGGGGGGCTCGAATCCCGCCGCCGGTTGATATTTTTGGCGCGTTGTCCTAATAAACATGCCGACGTCGGCCCCGTCGGTCCAACGACAAACGATCTCGTCAACCTCGGCAAACGATCTCGGCCCGACGTCGGCTCAACGTCGGCTGGACTTCGGCTGGACGTCGGAACATGCGGGCATATCCGACGTCCAGCCGATGTCGGGCCGAGGTTGAACCGACGTTGGGCCGACGTCGGGCCGAGCCTCGGCCCGACGTCGGGCCGACGTCGTCATGTTTACTGGGGAACAGTGATCAGGTGGTAGCAGGAACAAACAATTTCAGTAAACTGTAAGCAGCTCACGCTAGTGCAGTGGACTGTGGAGCTTTTCTCATGAACATTGCTGTGGGAGGTATGTCACGAAAGCTTACAGTTTTTCTGCATTTTTGTATTTGTTGCATTGAAACTCCGCGGAACTTTCGTTCACTCCGCTACCCGGCGCCGAAATACCGCTGCCGTTTTAAAACCGTCTTTTTATTGTTATAAGTGTCCTCATTCTAACAATACTAACTTGCGAATCCTTTTCCAAACCATCCCTGCTTGACGGTGCCACCGAGCAGTATATGTACGAGTATGTATATTTGCATATGCACACATAGGCGGCGGAACGGGGGGGGGGGGGGCACCGGGGCACCGTGCCCCCCTTGAATTCTGCAAGGGGGGCACCAATAGCAAGGTGCCCCCCTTAAATTTGATGTATTAGTACCAGGAGCGGATTCGGGAAAACTCCAAGGGGAGGGTCATGAATCGAAGTGGTGCCCCTACCTATACCCAAAATTAAAACCTCAACGGATTTCGGCCACTTAATTTTGGTGGTGCCCTATTTTCAGTTTTCTATTTTCTTTATTTTTGGTTAGTCGTGTGATGACTGGTGCCCCTGCTAGGCCGCTGGTGCCCCTGGAAAGGCTGTGGTACCTACCTACCCTGCCCCCTGACAAGCCCACGGTGGGCCCTGCACATGACTTAGGTGCCCATGGGCCCTGACAGGTCCGTGGTGCCCCTGACAGGCCTGTGGTGTCCTTGCTAGGCCTGTGGTGTCCCTGGGCCTTGGCAGGTCTGTAGTGCCCCTGGCGAGCCTGTGGTGCCCCTGTTAGAACGCAGGTGCCCTTGACAGGTTTGTAGTGCCCCTGACAATCCTAAAGTGCCAACGACAGGCTTGTGGTGCCCTTGACAGGCCCATGGTGCCCTTGCGAGGCTGGTGGTTCCCCTGCGAAGCCGATAGTACCCCTGGCAGGCCTCTGGTGCCCCTGGCAGGTCTGTGGTGCCCCTGGAAGACCTGTAGTGCTTTTGCTAGGCCGATGGTGCTCCTGACAGGCCTGTGGTGCCACTGACAGGCCTGTGGTGCCACTGACAGGCCCGTGGTGCCCCTGCTAGGCCTGTGGTACCCCTGGCGGGCCTGTGGTGCCCCTGTCGGCTGTCAGGCCTGTGGTGCTCCTGGCAGGCATGTGGTGACCCCAGGCCCAAAGTCATGACCCATGTGACCTCCCCCCTGGGATTCGCCACTGATTAGTACTGCGATGGCTTCTTGGTAATTTGATACATGTAGGATTAACCCTCGCCAGGCGATGGCCTTTTCCGTAACACGGACGGCGAGGGGGGGGGGGGTTGGTACGACCCCCCTCGCGATTGGCTCCTATGGCACTTAGAAACGACAAATTTACAGGGTAGGTGGGTCCATGGGAGATCTCGCCCCTGTGAAAGTTTGGTGACTCTAAGTCAATATTTAGGGGGTTTTTGGGGGTATGAATGCAAAAATTTTGCTTAAACATGTTAAAAGTTTTTCGCTTATAACTTTTTACCTAGCAAAGATAGAGCAACAATAAAAGCACCAGTGAACTCAGGACGTCAGTGCGCATCGAATGGTGTACTTTGTTACCAATTTTAGTGAACTTTGGAATTCAGTTGCCGCTAAGCTAGCCCAATTTTCCCCTGACCTTGTACCGGTTTTTGTGACCTGGTGACCTGACCTGAAAAGACTGGGACTTCAAATTTTCAGGAAAGGTGCGAAAATGTTGCCCCAGAGGGTATGTCAAAAGCGCCGTTTTTACGTTATTTGCGAAAAACCTTAGGGGGGGTTGCATCAACCCCCCCTCGTCGGGCGAGGGTTAATGGAATTTATCAAACGAGAATAAGGAAGAGACAAACACATAGTTACTTGAGGATCAGCTTAAAGTTAACCACACATACGGGGGTGTTCTGCCATTTTCGTTTAGTAAAAAAAAAGAAAAAAAAAAGAAAAAATTATCATGTCAGGGCTGTGACGAAAAATAAGTGGCCTAAATCCGATGAGAAAACAGGATTTGGGGGTACCCTAGGTTTGGCTCCTTGAGCTGGTGCCCCCCCTTGTCTCAAATCGTTCCGCCGCCTATGTATGCACATGAAAACAATTCAATAATCGATGATTTATTTCAATACACTACCGCCGGTGACTCCGGACAAGGGATAAGTGTCGATATCATCAATTAATTGTAATTTAATCAGCCCGTTGCGTAGACATAAAACTAGTTAACCTCATTTCACACATAGGTTCCCGGATGTCACGAACGCATCTTCAATATGGCGTCTGGGCTCCCTCCGCTCCTCACTGTTTGGCCATTTTGAATCAGAAATCAACGCGTAAACAACCCTTCCCTGCCCCTAACCAGGCCCCCGCCGCACACTGGGTCCTATTGCGCGTCGTGAGTGTAAACCCCGCCCACTTTAATGACGTCACGTGGCCAGGGGACGGCCCACGCGTGAGGCCTCCTGTCCCGACACGCTGTCAGAGACTGTACCTCACGCGAAAGCACGCGGGGGCGATGTTGGAGAGTGTACGACCTCATGACAACTCGTTTGGGCCGGCGCGGCGGCGGGCCGGGGGGAGGGGGAAGGGGTATTGGAGGGAGGGGGAGGATTTTAGGCGGTTTGTGCGTCGCTGAGCGTAGTCAGGTTTGGTGATGACCCGCTGCGCCGGTTTATTACGTACCCGCCCGGGCGGATTGATTGCGTGTGAGCTTTTATAACAGTGGATGTGTCTTGTTATATGTTGGATGGGTGGTTTTAGTAGGCGCAGTGCGCACATTTGGCGTGCGTTCTATGTGGGACAGTCGTCTTTGTCATGATTGTTATAAGTTCTTTTTACAAAAATAAAAGGAAAGAAAACTAAACTCATCCACAATTTGGCAGTGCCGAAGATGAATTTGATTTTTTTTTGGGGGGGGGGACAAAATAGAACAAAGATATTAAACGATGTAC